CACATAGCACTTCGAGGAGGTCGTTGTAGACCTCGGTGGTCTGGGTGCACCGAAGTGGGGAAGGCGATTGAGATAACCGCCGAACATGTTCCCGAAGAAAGGGAAGGTCGAGTGCGCGGATGTTGAAGGCATGGGTCCAGAGATGTGTGAGGAGGCATGCTCGGGCGAGCGGGAGGAGTAGCGCATCGAGATGATCGACGGAGGGGAGAAGGCGGAATATGTCCGGAGCCACATGTGGGAATGGTTGGTGTGGAAGGGCTGGGAGGCGGCATCGGCACGGATGACGTGAAGCGTGAGGTCCGGCGAGAGGGCACGGGGGGCGGATGTGGTTCAGGGTGCTCTCTAGGTAGAGGTCGCGTCGTATGATGGTGGAGAGGTGGTTGAACGCGGCGAAGTAAGCGTCATTGGACGTGGGGTGGTGTGGCCGCTGTATCGTCCGCGTAGTCGGGGAGCATCGCTAGGCGACGGAGAACAACCAGGGAACAGTGGTCGTCTTGGTAGAACTGCACGGAAGGGAGAAAAATCTTATCTCTCCCCTGTTTTACAGTTTAATCCTTCTAGTTTGCACTATTTACAAAAAAACATGCTCAAGTTAGTCCACTTCGTGCCATTATATCGTGCCACCTACATGTGGGCCCCCTTGCCCGTTTTGGCACCTTAAAGGGCTAAACGAACGATCAATTTTTTTCAAGAAAAAAATATATAACCCTGCTGGGTGCAATTTGCAATTTGAATTTTCAAGGATGTTTTCGGCGATTTGGGCCTGCAATATGTTGTTTTTTACCCGCGAAGTGTTCGACCGGTTAATAATCGAATGATCTCGTGCTAAGAACTGTTTCATGCATGCACGTGCTAGTAAAATATGCAGGAGTTGCTTCCTTCAGCACCAAAGAGACGTCAACTCTTGAGTAAAGAATGGGTGGTCAATCTATCTGGCCACCACCAAGTGTTACAAACATGAACCGAACAAACATCTATCTATTATATATTAAAAGTAATGTACGGTGAACCACGATTAAGAGAAATAGGCTATAAAATTTCACGTTAATCAGAAAATATTAACCGTTGATCTTGTGGATCTCTTAAAATTAATATTACCTGGCCGTTCAATCTGTGTAACATGGCGGACATGACTTACGTGACACATGTATGCATCTACATGTGTTCAATGAAAAAAGGTACAACCCCCAACGTGTATAGCATTAAAAAGGAAGCAAAAAAAAAAGACTGTCACGTGGCTTGAGATCCAACACATGTACGCATCTACATCTACATATGCTCAAAGAAAAATATTAGGTAACTCCCCCAACTTATAGCATTAGAAAAAAAAACGATACATCCACGACGTATAGAATTAGAAAAGAAGGAAAAAAAATGGACTGTCAGATGGCTAAAAGTAATATACGGTGAACCACAATTTAGAGAAATAGACTATAAAATTCCACGTTAATAAGAAAATATTAGCCGTTGATCTTGTGGATCTCTTAAAATTAATATTACCTGACGTTCAGTCTGTGTAACATGGTGGGCCTAAGAGGACTTACGTGATACATGTATGCATCTACATATGTTCAAGGAAAAAATTGGTACAACCCTCAATATATATAGCATTAAAAAGGAAGCAAAAAAAATGGCACATGGGTTGAGATCCAACACATGAACGCTTCTATATCTACATATGTTCAAAGTAAAAATAGGTAACACCCCCAACGTATAGCATTTTAAAAAAATTGGTTCAGCCCTCGGCGTATAGAATTAGAAAAGAATAAAAAAAATTGGACTGTCACATGGCTAGAGATCGAACGTGTGCCCCCGGCATCAAAGAAAGAACAAATCAACTGTTCAAAATAATGGCGTTCGCCGATGGTGCACTGGCACGTGAAGCTCGACCATCACGAAGTGACCAACGATCGGTCCACCGCCAACTAACTCCTCCCTAATGACAACAAGATGAAAAGGACGAGAAAGGCGCACACATACACACACACACACACATCTACAGCGGTAACCCTATGGACAAAGGGCCTCGGGTCTCGGCGGTGCATACATGTCTACGTCATGGAAGAAGGATAGGAGGAAAATCACATGCGCAACGTACACAGCCAGGTGATCGAATAAGGATAAGTAATAAGAGTAAGAACAAATGCATGAGTGAGCAATTTGGTGCCGATTTAGCCCAGTCGTTTCACACAATAGAGGGTCACAAATACATCCAAATTAAACTAGCGTAACAAGTTGTGTTGTGAGAAACTGTTTCATCACTACTCACTTAGCTCCTCTTGGTAACCAAATGCAACTTTTCTCCAAAATCCTTTATCGCCGCGCATGCCGATGCAGCATCGGAGAGCAAAAAAGTTGGATTTTGAATACTAAAAAAATAAAGCGCACATGTGCGGTTTAATAAGTTGGGGCTTCCGAAGATGATCACATGTGCGGTTTAATAAGTCCAGGTGACCATCCACATTTAGCTAATTTGAATTTCTCATATGGCGCAACAATAAGAGACTCCCAGCACTCTAAACTCTGAAGTTGCAGTTTCCGCCTTTATGAATTGTTCAATGAAGTATTAGTCTATAAGTATGTATATTAAATTATTATGCGTTTCAGACATGTGTTTCCGGATGAAACTTTGGTCTTGTGTTGTTTAGATGTTATCAAAAGGCATCAACCATTAGTAGGAAATTTTGTCACAGAAATATGCTTTTCCATTACTATGATTCTTTTTTGTGTTCAATTTAAGTGCAAACATCCTATTGGGTCGAGAGACGCCTAGCAACTTTCCTCTTCACAACTATTTTCTATTTCCTTTCAGTTTTGCGTGTTAAAACCAAAGTGAAATTACTCACACTACTGTTATCTCTGCTATTTCCAGCAGCGTACATTGGACACAGATAGGTGTCATTGCCTCTTTTGATTGGTATATGCTGATGCTGCCACAGCAGTGTTTATTGATCCGATGGCAAACATCCTCGGCATCACGCGTATATGTCACAAGCTCCTCTACAATATTCCCTAAGATTTGTTTGTATAGTGTGTGGTACTTTAATGGTGCCCTATTTTTTAATGACAATGGTCGGCTGCTAATTCACTAGCTAGGCTGGCTCTATTTCTACTATTTACTTAGCTCAAGTATCTGGTCCATATGGTAACCAGCTTGGCACATATTTTTTGAATGTTATTTACAATACATAACAAATAACTTGCATCGATCCTATACATGTTCGCAAAAATAAGCAGTGAAATAGAAGCAAACAACATGATGGGTATGAACTAGATCAGAAAAACTTATTCTTAGACAAATTATATAGATGGACACATTGACCAGACATAGTAGAAGAATCGCACCAACCCCACAACTTGTAGATTGTCAAAATATTACGATGACTTAAAATATTTAGAACTAAAAGGTCAAAATTGATGTATCTTCATAATTCCAAATAAGGTAATCTAATCATTGGTCCGAGCGCCCTTATTTTATTGTTGTTCATAATTCTATATGGTCCATAGTTGATTGTCGTTCATAATTTTAAATTATGATCATTCAAGCATTGTTCTCTGCTAGATCACTACTATTATTTGGCCAGTCATACAGAGATTTCATAATTGGATATCTAATTTAATAAACCAACATTCTAAAGTTTTAACATTGTGTTTTGTTTTACATCACATTGATCTATTGCCTGGCATAGATCAATGCAAAATACAAATATTGTCACAATATGGTTTGTTATTTTGGTACTACCACAAATATCATGTGTACACAAACAAAAAAGGTTAAATATATATATGATATGATTATATAACACTTACCGCAATATGTTTCATAGTTACAGAAACATACTATTTTGAACCATATAATAAAAATATCATTAAACGATAAATTGATTTCTCATCCCTTCTATACATGTTAAAGATGATGCCCTCGCATTTGCGAGGGCCACTCTGCTAGTTATAAAAAAGACAGAACAACACTGCTTTGCTGCTCGGACTACTCGTCCCTAAACGTGGCAGCAACGAAACATTCTCAAATGATTCCAGACGTCGTCCTCATCACACGTAGTTTGACTGCTTGACCCATGACTCCATCAGAGTCCCCAACATGGCGAAATATCCTGCTTACAGCTTAGTGTGCATCTACTACCTTGGCTGCCAAGCCAGCCAGCTCTTCCTTTCCTACCTGCTTTCCTGCCTTCCCGCGGCACCGAGCTGGCGAGCTCTGCGAGTACAAATACTCAGGAGATCGATGGATCCTCAAGTCTTCCCAGCAACAACCAATAACCAGCCTCTTCTTCACTCTGTGTCCAACTAGCTAGCATCTGCAGCAGCATCCGAGGAGAGAAATAATGGTGTACGAGGCAGTGGAGGCCATTGCCCTGAGGAGCCAGGTTCAGAGAAGAAACATCAGTGCGAGAAGCCATGAGCATCAGGTGAAGGCCAGAGAGAATGAGCTCATATGGGGCATTGTTATCTGGGTCATCAGGAAGGTTTGCCCGGCCTTCTAGCCCATGCTGTGCCATGACGGATGATTATTAGAGTGTAACAGCTGAAGGCGGATCCTTTTTGCGTCAAGCAGACATTTCGCATACGTCATGCGTTTTTATGTACTCCTTCCGCAAACTAATATAAGAGCGTTTAGATCACTACTTAGTGATCTAAACGCTCTCTACAGTATTGTTTTTAGGGGCATACATACTAGTGTGTATCTCACTTGTAGTTAGTAGGAACAATTCATCAAAGTAATGTAATATAATATCAGTGTCCAAGAACTCCGGTCTTGGCCCAACTGAGTGTATTTTGTGTTGTACTACTTATGAATAATGTTAGCTAATATCTCCAACCCGTGTTTCTTCTTTGGTCTTTACAATTTGTTGTGTTTAACGTGCTGAATATCATTCTCATATAAGGAGAGGGGTAGGTGTGTTGAGAGCTGAGACTAGCAATTTATAAGTGTTCTTCACAGCTTTCGAAAGGGGCAGCTTATTTTAGTTGAAAGCGAGAATATGATACTTCCTCGTGGAACACCATACCATACGGTCGGTTGGACGAGCTCAGGAGCGAACCGGTGGCGCGAGACTCCCACTAGGAGATCCCCCAGATCTGTGATCTCTCTCGCGCGCGCGTCAATGGCATCGGTGGACGCCGGCGACGTGCAGGCGGCGCTGGCGCCGGTGAGCAGGGCCACTGTCTCGCACGTCATCTTCGACATGGACGGCCTCCTCCTGGGTATCTCTTCCCTTGATTCTGCCTGGTTTGTCGATTGCTTACTGGATGGCTGGATTCGGTAGCTCCATGGTTACGCCTCATGTCTTTATTGGGGCCATGGGGGCCGATCGCCGATGTCCTTTCATCATTTGCCCAACTTAAGGGCTGATGGTGTTCGTGGCCGGGTGCGTGCAGATACGGAGGGATTCTACACGGAAGTGCAGCAGAAGTTCCTGGCGAGGTACGGCAAGGTGTTCGACTGGTCAGTCAGGGCCAGGATGATGGGCAAGAAGGCCGCCGAGGCGGCGCGCATCTTCGTCGACGAGTACGGCCTCGCCGGCCTGCTCACTCCGGAGCAGTTCCTCGAGCAGCGCGAGAGCATGCTGCAGGAGCTCTTCCCCTCCTGCGCCATCATGCCCGGTGAGAACGGCTGGTCTGTTTGCTTGATTGTTTCTCCCCTTCTGATACTCGGTCTTGTGGTGTGTATTTGCAACTCATGTGTAAATCAAACTTTGTCACTTGTCAGTTGGGTGGAGACTAAAATGTGTGGGCTTGGCATGACTGATTGGCTGCAGGGCCGTTATGTCTTTGACAGTTCATTCACTGGGGTTTTTTTTTTCTATGGGAAGTTCATTCACTAGGTTGGTAGTTCATTCACTATTAAAAAAAAAGGGTTTGTCTAATTCACATCTAGATGTTTTTTAAGGATGTCACATCTAAGCTCCCACAAATATATAATGCAGCAACAAGAAACAAAAAAAAACTTGGACAAAAAAATATAGACCACAAAAAGAATGGACATCAGTTTAGATGTGACATAACTATGTCACATCTAGATGTGTCCTAGACAGGCCCAAAAAAAACTAAACGTAAATAGAAAGGTGATGCTCCCGTCTCACTCACTTTTCATCAGGATCACTAGATCTTCATCCAGCGGCCAGAAACAGGTAGCACACTGTATCTTCTTCCGCCTGGCTGGCGGCGGTCCCATGCACGCCTTGCACTGCCCTCCCCTCAAGGCCTCAACCTACGCACATTGTCGTGCTGCTATGGATGGTCGTCGGATCTGGCCGGCTAGATCTGGGGCTTTGAAGGGTGGTCTGGACGGTGCACAAGTTGCCACGTTTTGACATAGTGTAATTTTAGACAATTAAAGCAATGCATTATTACCTTTGTTAGAATTTCAGGGTTGAAACGAATTTGAATGGAATTTAAGTGTTAATTTTGGTTGCCCTTTGTTTCTTATAAATATTGGTAACATTGACATCTATACTTAGTTGGTATAATAATCAGAAGTTCAAGTTAATATATATTATGTAATCACTGGTTGAACATATCGAAGGAATCTCGAATGTTTCATAAATGTAATTTCCTACTCGGTGCTATGTTGAATGTAACATGTGGTTGTCCTTTCTTGTTTAGTTTTTGTCATGGAGATTGCTTATGATGGATAAGTGAATCGTTCGTCTTGCAGGGGCACTACGCTTGATTCATCATTTCCATGCAAACAAGATACCTATCTGTGTTGCAACAGGGTAACTTAAATTATTCATTTGGCCTTGATTTTGTGCACTGTGTTTTTCTTCATTACTTCTTGTTCTTTACTAAGTTGGAAACATCTAAAACCGATTTTTTTTTATGGTGTATGGCAGATCCCATAAATGTCATTTTGGACTGAAGACACAGAACCACCAGGAAATGTTTGCCCTGATGCATCATGTTGTCATGGGGGATGATCCAGAGGTTAAGGCCGGCAAGCCATCTCCTGACATTTTCCTTGCTGCCATGAGGAGGTTTGAGGTAGTACAATTATCATTTCACAACCCTTGTAGCTGCTAGGTCCTTTGGCTCTGTAAACTTCTTCTTTTTCCTGGTTTTGATGAAATGACCTTGTACTTGTTTTTAGGGCAATGAGGAAACCAGTAACTGCTTGGTCTTTGAAGATGCACCATCAGGTGTAGCAGCAGCTAAGAATGCAGGAATGTAAGTAGCGTTGCAATTACATCGATCTGCGCATGAACTGTCCCTTTTGGTTACGATCGAGGTAAAAAAAAAACACAAATCGTTTGTTCATTTGCAGGCATGTGGTGATGGTCCCAGATCCGAAGCTGGATGTTTCATATCACAAAGAAGCCGACCAAGTTCTCGGTTCCCTGTTGGATTTCGAACCGACCGAATGGGGCTTGCCACCTTTTAAAGAGGAGTGAAAATTAGTTTGATGACTGTGAGGTTCGAGAGTGAGTAACCAAAACTTTGCAAGGTGATTTACCTATACAAATAGTACTATGTACGAGATAATAGAACTCTCGTAGCTCTCCTTGTTTGCACGGTGGACACCGAAGCTTAGCACTTTGGCTGAGTTCCTACAGTCCTGTAACAATAAGAACAACGGTATAGACACTACTGGCTATATGTGTATCACCTGATGCAGAAGCCGGGGGTTATCCTCCTTTTCAAGAAAAAAATACATTGAAAAACTGCATTATGTTCTTCTGTCTGTTCCAGAGATCAGAGGGAAAAAAAACTTGCCTATCCTGAACCAGTCGTTGTTGTTAAAGTAGACAACTAATTATTCCTAATACACTGTACACAAGCTTACACAGCAACCATAGTTGGTAGTCTGTAACAAAGTTGGACAAGCATCACTTGCCAGATCAAGACAAAAAAAGTCGACATCACAAATTATCATCCATTACACACTTCAGTACAAGTGTAAATTATAAGATACTTGCATGGACAGATTTTAGTATCACAAATCGTCGTTTAGTTGCATGTTCTTGCGCAATTACACTCCTTTTTGCTTGACTTTTACAATAGGACAATTGCGACTATCATGAAGCACTATTTGGTTGCACGTCTTTCATGAGCGTGCAGCCTTTACCTTCACTATTCTGTCATTTTTTCCATCCACTCCTTGGTCACCTTCCCTCTCTTTACTCTTCTGCACCCCACTGTATGAACATCAGTTGGATGTATATGTACTCCACCAATAAGTGACTTACAGAACTGCAGAGCCTCGAATCCTACAAATGTCGGCTTCAAATGCTTGTACGTTCAGGTGTAAACAATGAGCATTGCGACATAAATAATGAATCATGATAGCACCTTTGACTTAGCTCGTTAAACTGAACAACACCATCGTTAGTGAAAGCTCATGAACTTACAAACATAGGAACCTTTAGAGTCTTTTCGGGTGTACTGAAGTATGAAGCCTTTATAAGTAAATCATCCATCTGCATTGCCAAGATATTGAGTGTCTGACTCTGTATTACTACACATGATGCCACAATGATGCTACACAATTGGCCTTTCACATAGAAAACAAACATATAAAATGTACAGATGACCGAATTTCCTTGCCATGTTAGAGCATCTCCCGCCGCGCCCCCAACATCCCCCCCCCAGGAGCCTGTTTTTCGGCGGTTTGGGCCGAAATTGGCGCCGGCGGACCTAGGCCGAACCCGACGCGCTAGGGGGCGCCTGGGGGCGCTGGGGAAAATGATTTGGCGTGAACGGGGATGGGCCCGCTGAGTCAGCGTGACGCCGCTTCATCGTCCTCGTCGCCTTGGTTCCCGCGGGAATCAATGCCAAGGTTGTCGTGCCGGTCAGCCTCGATTGATACCTCACGGGTGGCGCAGTGAAGACGCCACCGACGCGCGTCCTACCCGCTCCCGCCACGCATCACCCGGCATGCAGGCTCTCACCGCCCCGCTTCGGCTATAAAAGCCGGCCTCCCCGCCGGTGAACGCCACAGTTGCCACAACTCGCCTTGTCTCACCACAGAAGGAACTCCCCCCCCCCCTTCTTCCCGTCAATGAGCAATGGCTGAGCGGTACCCCGGCGACGCCGCGGCGGCGAACGGCTTCGGCCGCCGTCATCTCCACGAGGACGAGGTGCGCCTCCTCTACGAGGCCGACTATCCGGCGTCCCCGGACATGAGGGTGCCGGGCTCGTGGAAGTTGAGCGACGGCGACGTCCCGATACCACCGATGCTCGAATGGGCTGCGCGGCGGGCCAAGATCGCCCGCATCCGCTCATCACTGACGGAAGCGCAGCAGAATGAGCCGTGGTACGCCACCGACAGCCACACGCTATGGACGATGTTCTTCGAGCGCCGCCGTGAAGAACAGATCGCCTCCGCCAATGGCATCATCCCCCGCGACCGCCTCAACGCCGACGGCGGCACGAGTGGTGGGGCGTGCCCGGTCGCACCCTCGAGGCCGTCCTCGGCCGCATCAAGACCGGCAACATGCTGCGCCTCGAGTACCCCCCGCGCCAGTCGTTCTCTCACCGTCGTGGCAGCTCCTGGACGCCGTGGCGAATGGAGACGGGGACGTCCTCCTCGTCGGGCTCCAACTCGCTCTCCTTCGGCTCACCGGCGCTCCACCCCGTCAAGCCGGAGCCGGAGGAGGAGACGCCGCTTCGGCGCCACACCCGCAGCAGCGCCCTCGTCATCAACAAGGGCGGCCACCCCTCCCCGCGCTCCCTGCGTCTGGTTCGGCCGAAGACCAAGCCGGGCTGCTCCCCGTGAAGCCAGAGCACGCGGAGATGGCCGCCGCCGACGAGGCCGCCCTCAAGTGGGCGAGGAAGGACCACGTCCGCGAGCAGGTGCTCCGCCAGCGCCGGGCATACGCGGAGCTCCAGGCCCGGCGCCACGGGCGCAAGGAGGGTGGCTTCATCATCCCTGACAACGACGAGGAGGACGAGGCCGGGCCGTCCAACCCAGCCCCGCGTGTCGGCGACCCTGGCCAGGGGTGCAGTAGGGACGGCGGCTTCGGCGGGGCGCGCGATGATGACGGCGACTACACCCATTTCTATAGGCTCCTCGGCATGTAGAAAGCGGGCGACGACCGCGGCGTAGCAGGGCAGGGGGCGGCGTAGCAGGGCTAAGTGTAGTTTGCATGTTCAGCTGTTTTTCTACAAATTTCTATGAAATATCGCCGAGTCTGTGCCAGATTGCCGAGTTTGTACAACTTTGTATGAAAGATCGCTGAGTTTGCGCAATTTTGTCGGTGACCTGGGGACGGCGACTAGGAACGCAATCGCCCCCACGCGCCAAGCAAACGCCAGTTCGGCCCCAAACGGCTCTTTTTCGGCGTCTTGGGGCCCGAACAGCTGGAGATGTTCTTACATGTATAATAGGGTGTGACCGTAAGAAGCACTAGATGATACCCTGCACGTTGTTGCATGAATACTTTGCAATACATTTCAATGATATTTGTTGCATAGAACATAAATATTTTGATAACAATGTGATATCTAAGATGGAAAATACATACGATTTATTGTGTTTGATTGTATAGCTATAAAATATTTATTAAATCTAACATTATACAACGAAAATTCTCATGCATGTTTGCATATTAAGGTGGGTCTTTCTCCATGTATGTTGCATGCGTGGGTGACATGCTTGCATGTTGAGAGAAATATGTTAGTGAGGGCTGACTATTTAGATATGTAAGATTTTTTTAGCGAACCTTCCCCACCGATCAACCACTTCCAACTCACGTTGAATCTTCCCACCTAACCCATTATTCTTGTGTATTCTCACTATTCTCTTGCAGTTTGGTTTTATATTAGCAAGCCAGTAATAACAAAAATCATATTTCAATGCGGTTCAAATTTATGTACAAAAAAAATCAAAGACTTCAAAAAAATTCAATACTTCTAAAACCACATCTTCAATATTTTCTTAAAAATAGACTTAAAAATATAAATGTAAGTTTCACAATAGAAATATTCCAGTATATTTCAAATGTCATTTCAGTAGTCTTCCAATTAATCTCCAGTCCCAAAATTTTAGTCCTACAAAAATTCGGTTTTTCTCAACCAAGTTTCAACTATTGTTCACATCAATTTTATGAACGTATAGACATTTTCCAATTAATTTCAAAACTTTCAACATGAATTTAAATGTGATTCCTCTTTCAAATGTGATTCCAATGTAATTTCATCAATTCAAATTTTTACTAATTTAATTGGTGTATGACGGGGATGATTTGAAATAATCAAATTTCATGAAATTGATTGGATGTGACTATTTCTAAATATTGTGTCAAGATATGTAAAATGATTTAGCGATTGGAATGGTTCAAATTTGTGTGTAGTATCTATGTAATGTTTCTAAAATGGATTGAATACGACCGAGATAATTGAAATTTGTATCCTTATTTATGAAAACGGTACTTTGTAAAAAATCCAAACGGTGAAATCTCATGAGAATATTTCAAAAGGTCAAATATAAAATGACTTATTAAATGTGTGTAAATAATTGAAAAACTTTGAATAGAAACCACATGGAATGTATTTTGGAAACAATTCGTTTGAATAATAAACCATGGTGGTGATAATGGAGGTGGAGTTGGTGATGTCAATGATGAAGAATCCACTATCCGGAGGCCATATCACCCTCTAGACAACCCCCCTCCCCCGAGAAGGCAACAACTTCGACCCAAGGAAATAGCAGAAAATTGGCTTTTGAGAG